CCCTTTCCATAGTGCCCGCCATAGCCTAAATGAAGTACAAGATGTTTTGACACGGCCTGTATCAACATAAAAGTTTCTTAATCGTTTGTTGCCTCGCATTAACAAGGCATGCCCCATTGCGACGACCTGCAGCAACAGCCAGTCACCAGCAACTCAGGTGAATATGGCGCAGCTAGTGCCTAGAAGAGAACAGCAACTGGAATAATTTATTAGATTTCGTGGTCCAATTGACCAAGTAACTTCTTTCAATTAATTAATCTTTATTTAAGGTACAAGTTGAGATAAAAAAAAGCCAGTGTCACGAGCGCGATTCGAACTCACGACTTTCGGCTAAATACGCCGGCTGCTCTACCACTTGAGCTATCGTGACTTCGATCCCCTCGGGCAGTAACTTCCCATCTCAACCCCACCTTTTGAATTTTCCCTCCTTTTTGCCATTTTTAAAATGTCGTGTAATCGGATTGGACTCTCGGCGACAAATCAAATGGCCACGGAGAGCTTTAGTGAAGTATACTTCATTTTAATTCATTAAATTCACTAATTTCGTGGTCCGCTTGACCAATTAATATATTACAATTAATTAAGGTTTTTGGTTGAGATAATAAAGTCAATGGCACAAGTGGGATTCGAACCCACGATCTTCGGCTAGATACGCCGCTGCTCTACCACTTGAGCTATCGTGACTTCGATCCGCTCGGACACCAACTTTCCATCTCAACCCCACCTTTCGAAATTTCCCCCCTTTTTGCCATTTTTCAATCCGCTCGTGATACTAGCTTTTTTATCTCAACCAATACCTTAAATAAAGATAAATTAATTGAAAGAATTGGAATAATGTTATGTTTACTAATGAGTCGCATTTCTGTCTGTGAGTTCCAGTTCCTTCTGCTATCACTATACAGCCAGAAATGCGACTCATCAGTAAACATAACAGCATTCCAATTTGTGTTCTTTTCTGGGTCACCCTGCATCATATTTTCCAGTTATCAGTTTGTATTTTCTATTGGGTTAATATATCGGTTAATTTAGTTAAAATTAATAAAATAAGAATAAATTACAAATATCTCTATTCATTTTTGCGCAGTTTATTTATGTTCCACATATTCCTTACCTAATTTCTTTGAACAAAAAAGCAAAAGCATTCTGAGCTGATTTACCATCCGTCTTCTTTTAAAAATTTCCCCTCTAAATAGAGAAAACTCTCGCTAGGTGTAAATTTCTGGGTATTAAACAGTGATTTTAAACTCAACACCAATTTCGTCGATGCGTAAGGATAATGTGAATATACTTCGATAATACCTCCTATGATCTCATCAACATTTGGACGTTTTTCTACAGTTAACGTTTCCATTGTGATTTCGGCAAAATTGTATATCCGGCTCTTTTCAAATACTGAACGTTTTCTTTCGATACGAGAGGTGTTTCTCGTTGTCTTCCTGAGGAAGAATGGTCCTAGCTTTATCCATACCCTTTTTTATAGACTTTTTGTGTACACGTCAAAGAAGATAGTGAACTTTTCTTTTAGGAAAACGTTCATTTTATAAGGTCTAACAAAAACAATAAACACAAATGGCCGGAAAGATTAGTATTGGGAATATGATATCTCTTTTTGTTCACAGTTATGCGGACATTTTGCAGTTACCTTACGAGCTGGGGGAGAATATTTTATTTTACCAGTGCTATTAAAATACCTCGCCCATTTTTCAATTTTTTATAGAACACCCAATGTGTGCCTCGACCGCAACTTTTATCCTAATTCAATATTGCACATTCGCTTGTACACGATTTAGGCAGACCATCTCTCATAAAAACACCCTTAAAACTCTGAATTTTTTAAGACCGAGCTATTCGAGAAATCTGAAAATATATTAGTTTCCATTCTGGAAAAGTACATAATAGCTCTTTTCCTTTCTTCGACAGTAGGCATAATCTAAAACCACCGATTTTCTTCGGAGGGATATTTATCCGTTTAAATATGCGTCTTCGGACCATGTTCATTCGTTTGAGGCTCCACGCAAGCTGATTCAAATATTTAAAAACGATTGCTTTATATGTTTACATTTTTCATGTCAACGCACCTATTGTGTGTTGAATCGAATCCGAGCCGTTTCATTAGGGCTTTCTTGTTATTTTTCTTAATAACGTTTTCCACTAAGTAGCAGTCCGGATATTTTACTAGCTACAATTCTTCTTTATAAAAACCGTCCTGCAATTTTCCTAACAAATGGGTTTCGATTTTTCCGGTTTTCACAGCTGCCGGTGCCATTCCGATAGTACGGTGTTATTTTTTATCGTTGTATTCTTCGAGGAGAGATATCATCATTGGTAACCAATCGTAAGACGTTTGGAAACTAAATATTTTCCAAAACCTTGTTTTTTATGTTCTCTCGCTCACTCTACTATGGATGCTTTACCATTGTTGTAGGTTGAATACTGATTTATATGGAATTTTTAAAGAAAGAATTTGTTTCTTTAGGGTTGCTTTACCTCAATCGGTTTACAAATTTCGGGGTACACGACGAACGCTGGCAGAAAACGGAATGTATCTATTAATCTTACAGATATCCTAATATTTATCCGTTTAGAGAAGGAACAAGTTTTTCTTCTGTAACTACTGAACTGATTTTGGTCAAACTTTCACACTTTGTTTTTATTTGAGTTTAAAGACTACAACATGGGCATATAACAAATAATAGGCGTTGGGTTTTTCAAAAAAAGAAAAAAAAACATTATTAACCCCCTCGCAACGCCAGGTTAAAAGCTAGTTATGTATAAAAACTGGAAGGAATGACGGGTTCTGAAACGGATGTTATATTGATTGTGGGCGGCACCTCTGTTCTCTCCTATTAAATGGTTATGATGACCTTCATATCATCAGGGATAAAAGGTTGATGGTAAATTAAACAAATTTGGTTTCTTTATATTCCTGAATTTCAATATCTGTCGATGGATTTAGAGGTATTATTTAAGTATAAACTGCTGAAAGACATATTCAGGAAGCTCATGGGGACATGTGGATGTATAAAAGTTGTAACCAAATTAGAAGTTTTGCATTTCTTATCTGTTGTTATTCGAAATTTCAATACACAACATATGACACATTTAAAGTGCGCTCAACATTTGCAAATTTTATGAAATTGTTATCCGGAGAACCTGCTTTAGCCGGTTTATTTTTTACTTTTTTTAACCATTGTAACTATAATCAAAATGTGTAAAACATTTTTGTACAAATGTGTGGTGATTAGTGACCGTTAATCGATAATTATTCAGAAATCGTGAGATGCGGTCTGGTGTGATGTAGATTTAAGAAAAACATTTTCTTTATCGTGCAACGTTTCGATCTTTATTGAGATCATCTTCAGGGCCTGGGATTAACAAAAATTGTTTACATTTAACAAATACATTTAGGATGTGGAAAAGTGAATTTATACAATGCAAAATATATTTTTTATATTCAGATAACATACATATATAATTACATTACATTCCACACATCAAATATTTTTCATAGTAAAATTGTCCAACAATTTAGCTTTCCTTTTCCTATTTATCCCTTTCTATATAATCCTGAAAGGATAATCTGGCCGAAACATTACGAACGTTTTTTCCCTTCGTCGGCTTTTTTCACCTCAAAGAAGCCGTCGCCTTATACAAAAATGTCTTTTCTATACCGACTTCCTTCCCCACCCCTTCAAAATCCAACGTATACAAACATAAAACGGCAATATCTCACTGGCACTCTCAAATTATTTTTTACAAACAAATTAATTTTTATTGATTATTCAGAAAGCGTGAGATGCGATCTGGTATGATGTAGGTTTCAGAAAATTTTTTTTTGTCGTGCCATCGTTTCGATCTTTATTGAGACTATTATTGTGTGTCGTGGATAATGACTAATCTACATAGAAAACAAACACTTTGAGTGGGCACAAATATTTTGATTGAGTCTAAAATGTCATCATCGTATAAAATAATTTTTTCACATCCTACATGTATTTGTATAATTTAAACAATGTTTATAAATCCCTGGCCCCGAAGATGATCTCAATAAAGCTTGAAACGTAGAACGATAGAGAAAATATTTTTCTGAAACCTACATCACACCAGACCGCATCTCACGATTTCTGGATAATCACCGATTAACGGTAACTAATCACCACATTAATTTTTATTGTTTCTTGTCGATACCTGTTTGCTAATTAGGCGCTCAAAATTTTGTTTATAAAAATAAAGATATTTATCATTTTCTTATTTTAGCAGTAAAATGTCTATGGTCATTCAATTCTTCGTTGGTAAAGGTTATAGGGAAAATGTCGTGATTTGTATTTACACCAAAAATATTTATTGAAATTTTGTTTTTTTCTAGTGAATTTTGGAATTTCGATTAAATGGGTGGTAAAAGAAAGATCTGAAAAGTCATAATTATGATACAAATTGGAGAATCGAATGAATCTGGGAATTTTTAACAATTAATTTGGCTAATATTTGTTGTATGTGTTATTGACATTGCATTTGATTTAAAATATTAGCGTTGTTGCGACTTAGTTTATATGTGTCTGTTCTGTAATTGATGCTGTATTTATCTCTGTTGATGAAAACCATTTCTAAAAAAGTTACGTTTATGTTTGTTTTGTTCTGTATTTAATAATTTATTTAAATATTATATATTTTTAAAAATTAATTTTATACTATAAAAAATGACTTGCGAGAATTAAGGAGTATATTTTGATTTGTTGTGTATTGATTAATAAACATGTCATTTAGATTATAATGGACGGTTCTCTTTCTTGGTTCTTTCTCTTTGTTTCTATATCAAGATGCATTGCTGGTACTATCATTGAAATCACGTCTCATTTATTGACTGTTCGATGATCAAGTTGTCCAAACGTGTATACGGATGCTTGAAATAGTTTCAAAATGATTGTTAGACAATAGCCAACAAACGGAGTATTTGGGGGAGGGATTTCACGGAACAATGTAGCACAGTTTCAATTGCTTACCATTCAATATGTGAACAAATGCGCTAGCTGGGTAGGCGTTACCGGCCACACAGGAGTAATTGCCTGAATGTTCCCTTGTAGCCTTTGTTATCGTGAGTGATGACTTTTTGTTGTTCAGATCAAAAGTGATATTGAGCCCGCGGTTTTTGTCATAGTTGACCATGCGATCGTTGTGGTACCAGAAGACGAACTCGGGAGGGACCGGACTCTCTTGGATGACGCAGTTCAACTCGACGCTGGAGCCCAGTTTCACGTACTTTTCGCTTGGTCCACCTATTTCTGCTCGAGCCTCTGTAAAAAAAAATCTCAAATTAAAATCAAAGTTTAAGGTACATTTGGATAATATTGAAGTTTATTATAAGATAAAAAGAAAAAAGTATTCAGTAAATTGTGAGATCTGTAGGCCGATGAAGCAGAAGCACTTTGATACTCCTACACGTACTGTTTTGGTCTGGCAAACGCGAATTACTTCATTAATATATTTTAACGTTAGCTTTTCAAATGTCCCCATTTGAATTCTTGCATTTGATGCCTTCCTCTGCTATTGAAGCATTACTGGACTACTTGTTAGATTTAATTTTGTTCATGTTTAATTTTTAACTTCTATCTGAGTTTAGTTTCATGGCCATGTCGAACTTGTGTTTGTTTGATTACCCTGGCCTGCCTAATCTTGCTGCTTTCTTCTTTCAAACCCAGTTTGGCACAGGCAACACCAAAGCAGCGAACCACCGATTACACGACAGACCTATGTCAAAAATTTCTTATTTTCTGTTTGTTCAATTAGTAGTTGATTAGCGAATATTAAGTTGGGATTTTGTCGTTACGGATCACATTGGTCACGTCACAGCCAGTGTTTGTCCCAAACCTACTACTTAAATCACAAAAAACTTTTATACATTAAGGGTTATTGTTTGTATTGATTTCATTTCCTTTCATATTTTATACACGAAATTGGGGATAAAAGATCCTGGACAGAACATAAAAGGTCGGTTCGAATTCCGTGACTTTGATTTTTTTGTAATCTCAAATGACGTGTTTATATGACCTAAGTGGATATCCTCTAGGGATGAAAATTTACAAACTCTTAGAATAAAATGAGAGTAATATGGAAAATTCATTAATTAAAGAATAACATAAAAGCCAATCCTCACGACTAAGGCCCAAAAAAGGAAGGAGACCTTGCCGACCTTGTTTTTTTTCGAAACTGCAATTGCATGTAGTTTGCACGGCATGTACCTGCATTTTTTTTCCTTATGGTCTATGCATATTAACCATGGTGACGAATTCTTGTATGTGTGTTCATATTGGTGGGGGGGGGGTTATCGTGAAAAAAGGGCCAGAGGCGACGGTGGGAATCGAACCCACGACCGCGGCGTTTATGAGCCGAGAGTCTCTCACGCTAACCACTCGGCTACCGCGGTCCCCAAAATGCAATTTGGTTGCCACCGATCATTTTGACAGTGACCCGACAGTAAATATGGTTTTTGTGGTGTAAATTGGGTGACAACGGGAAAAATTCAGTTTGTATCATAAAATTGAAAAGACGAAGTGTTTCTATTTTTTGTTCTTTTTAGTTTTGTAATACAATAATAGAAAAACAATCATGGAGAACAATTGTTTTCAAAACTGCCGAAGAGCAGATAAAATATTTTTTTTGTATAAAAAAGTAACATGTGATAAACTTAGGTTGTTCCCAAAAATGAATGATCAACTATTAAATATAAAAAAAACACTTGCTACGTATTTGTAGCGTAGTAAGAACGATTGAAGAAATGAAGATAGTGGCAATAGAGAAAATAGGTTTTGAAAAAATACTACCGAAATGGGGAAATTTTTTGGCCTCTACTTGAACAACAAAATGACCATAAAAAATGTAGAAGTACTGTATAACATTAAAGTTTGTTGCTCGAACCAAAAGTAGAGACTGCGTTGAAAATGAAATCCGCAACAGTACAGCTGTTTTTTTTTTCTACAAAAGTTAGCTCGCGTGTTAATTATTGTAGTTTCTCCCATTTTTGTTGTAATTAATTATAATTTTTTTGTTTCATTTTGAGAAACCGAACTTTACTAGGTTGGTATATAACTCTTTATAGAAAGCAGTGATAAACCATTTGTCAAATGATAAACTTTATCTGTCTGGCTATGGATATTATATTATTGTTGACACTGGAGAAACAATATTTTATATAATAATGCACCCAAACCTTATAACATGTATAGTATATTTTGGAGAGTTCTTTGAAAGGTGCGCCAGCCTGAAAGAGGGTGCCACAAAAAGATCGACAGTTTTTTGCGGGTTCATCGAAACCTCTCGGCAGAGAAAAAAGATTGTTATCTCCGCTTTTGGGTCGACCACGTGAATTCAGGCAGTTACTTTTTGTCTCTCCTAAATTTAAAAATTAATAGCTCACCTGCGTATAAATTGAGAGATAAGTCTTTGTTTTATTGTTTGCTAATTAATGTACGTATTTTTTCTGTTATTTTTCGTATAGAAAGATTTGCTTTTTATTGATTTTTTTTCTTACGTACACCATTTCTGAGGAGATCCTCTTAGCTTGCATAACCTTTATTTTTTAATTTAATTACTTTATAATTACTGGCAATTTGCTTGATTAAACTGTGAGGAGTGAGAACAAAAGTGATTAATATCATGTTGATAGTAGTGAAGACAGTCTTTAAATTAGAAAAAAAAATATGTCCCAAGGTTCACGTCTTAGTATACTCAAAGTTGGCTAAACTAGATACAACCTACATTTGTTCAAGAATTATGTTCATATCGTAGCTTTGTTAAAACAGCCTCAAGTCTTATTTATTAAAGCTATTATGGACTAGTATTGTTAATTATCCAGAAAGGCTGCGTTATTGTCAATGGAAACTTAATGACATCAGATTTCCTATTTGTGTTCATTGCATCTACGTTATTCCAAAATTTTCAAATTTTTTTTATTAGTTTGGGTAAATATTATTTGATTGTTCTGTATTAAAAAAACAAATGTAAAACTATAAAAGAGAAAAATTTACAGCGCGTAGAAAGATCTCGCCGATGATTTTGCCTCTGATTGACATGTATGCAGGAGGGCGGGCAAAGTGGAACAGGTTGGACATTATTGCATTCCCTTCAATCCATAATCAACCAGGACATGAAACCCCGCCCTTCAGCATCTACTAAATCGAAAATTCAATCGATACTCCAAAGGAGTTCAAAGGCCCTAATGTCAATTAAATTAACCCTGGAAAATCGAAACTTGTTTCACAAAAAAAATGATTAATGATTCTTGTAACACATGAAAAAAATCTCTACTTTTTACTCGTATATATATTTTGTTCATAAAACCAAACTTAAACTCTTAATTAGTAACATAACTATTAACGAAATAATTAGGTAATAATAATTAATTTCTAAATAAGAAACACTGATCTAAAACTTCTACTAGAATAGAAATTATGTTTTTCAGTGCTATTTATTTTTCAAGGTTCTTCAATACGTGGCGCAAATTTGAATGTTTCGGTGTGTTTTCAATAAGCTGATGGTTGGTTGGATTTTTTTTTTGTTTCTGAGCTTACGCTGTACATAAATCGATAGCATCAGAAAAGTGAATAGTTAAACCTAACTTAGGCAAAACTCAAGTTATTATATTTACTAAAAGAAGGAATTGGACATATTTTGTTGACTGTAGACAATAATTTACCTACCACCTGTAACCGATAAAATTAGACTATTAAACTACATTCCACATCATCTAATACTATAAAAAGTTAAGTATTTGAAGATTCTTTAAAAAATTTCCGACGATCTTTTTGAGTGAATAACTTAGGTTAAATTATACAAATACATGTAGGATGTGAAAAAATGAATTTATACAATGATGACATTTTAGACTCAATCAAAATATTTGTGCCTACTCAAAGTGTTGTTACGATCGAAACTTCGGCCGACAACAGTTGGTCCCGTCGCTCAGCGGTGAAGGGGGTGGGTGAAGGAGAGAGGTAGGGAATTGTTGAGCGCCACGGTATTTTTGGGAAGGGTAAATACCGAAACCCTAAGAGAAGAAAAGAAATAGAGGTAAAGGAAGGAAGAAGAGAAAAAATTGAAACCAAAGGGGAAAAATAACAGTAACGGAGTTTGGAATTGAACCCACAACTTTCGAGGCCCAAGTCGGCGATCGTAACCAATAGACCAAAGGCGCCGACTGAGACTCGCCGCATCCCGCCGGCTCACCGCCTTGCGTCTGGGATCGTCACGAAACCCGAGGCCCAAATCCATCCTCCGGACAGATAGAGATAGAAATAGAGGTAGAGAAAGACAAAGAACAATAATATTAATCGCCGGTGCCTTACCTGTGCCTCCCACAACGGGTGCAGTGAACAACAAAAAAAACTAGGCCATTTGGCCTCCGCCAAATAAAAGGTTCACAACAAATATCAAAGACCGCTCGACTTTATACTATATTAAACTAGAATCTCTTACATCGGAAATAATCTTATAAATAAATGACAATTAGACTACTTAGCAACTAAATCTTAACTCTTTAACCTAAAATGACTCACTACTTAATAAAACTTTTTAAAACTTAAATCGGAAATAATCTTATAAATAAATGATAATTAGACTACTTAGCAACTAAATCTTAACTCTTTAACCTAAAATGACTCACTACTTAAAGAAAACCTTAAACCTAGGGTAACAATTTTGTCTTATAACTAAACTTAATCTAACAAAATGTATTAATCAATACAAAAAGTCAATCGCCGTTTCGGCGAACTCACGTCGGGGCCCTGGCACAGCGTGGTCCTCATCCGGGAGCAGCCTTAATCGGGGGAAAATGATTCGTCCTCGTAGAACCACAAATCCTCTTCTGGGTTCTCTTCCCCATCACTCCGACCAGGGGAAGATGCCAGGTTAATGAGGACGAACAATCCGCCGCAGCGTGAATTTCCCCTTTTCTTTGGCCGCTCGTCCCTCGCACGGCGGACACGTCTCTCCGGGCCGAGAACCCTTAACCTTCTCCTCTCGGTCGCGTTCCAGGCCTCGACGCCTACCCTCGTGCTGCCGCCTGACGCTCTCTCATCTTCCACGCCAAAATTCAAATTTACACAACTTAAAACTAACATTTTTTCCCCACACGCAGGCACAGGCAAGACGCCAGAAAATCCATTATTATTTTTTTTCCTTAAAAAAAAAACGTAATAGTGTTTGTTTTCTATGTAGATTGGTCATTATCCACGACACACAATAATGGCCTCAATAAAGATCGAAACGTTGGCACGACAACGAAAATGTTTTTCTAAAC